AGTTCATAATCAGCTGGCTCCAAGGCAGGGTGGCATGGCAGAGGATCAACAGTTTCTGGGGACAGGAGACAGCAAAAGCAACAAGAGCAAAAATGGGGGAGTGCAAGGGAAGACTCTTTCTGTCACTTATATTGTATGTAGTTACCTACACTAGATACAGCACTCACACCCATGATCCTAGAATTAAACAATGAATCAATCACAAACTCTAAATTCAGTTGCCTCAGAAAAGCAACCTCTGCATGAATACATGAGGCACTGAGGGGACATCCAGACATAAACCATAACGTGGATATTTTCACCATGCCCATCACTATGGAACATATTTTGGTGCCAAAAAGTAATTAGGTGCTTTTAAAAATGGTAACAACAAAAAAGGACACACCTGAAAGGTTCTCAATCATCTATGACAATTTGAATACACAAAGACTGTGCTGAATTTTAATGTATAATATCAATTCTTATGAAATTCCTAATAAAAAATTCACAGCTGAACTTCAATCGTGAAAAACTGTCAAACCTAAATAAAGGGAAATAATACAAATTAACATGGCAACAAAACAAAAACAACCCGTCCAAATACACATTAACTTGGCAATATTCTTCATAAGTTAACATAACATTATGAAAGGCAAAGAAAGACAAAACCATACCAGACTAAAGCAGACATAAAGCTGTGAGCAGTCGCGTACGCACAGGCACGCACGCGTGCGCGCACAGACACACACACACACCCCTAATACTCTAGGAGGTTGAGGAAGGAGGATCACAAGTCCAAGTCTAATCTGGGTCACTTAGGCAAACCTTGTCTCCAAATGAAAAATAAAAAGAGCTAGAGATGTACCTTAGTGTAAAAGTCCTGAGTTTAATCCCTAGTAATGCAAGGGGATAAAAAATAGGAAAAAACGAAAACAAAATACAAAGTATGATCCTAGATTGGCTTCTGGATCAGAAAAGGGACATTACTAGAGTAACTGGTGAATTTGGAAGGTTTGCAAAATAGGTAACAAGACAACATCAATGTAATTTTGTAGATTTTATAATTGTATTATGGTTACAGAAACTGTTAACATTTGGCTAAAAAGGGTATATATGAATGTATAGGAGGTTTCTTGCAACTTTTTAAAAGTCTAATATTATCTTTAGAAATAGATTTAGGAGAAAGGTCAAAAGCCTAATGAGAATAGGTATTAGAGAATTGGGAATACACAGTTGGCACATGTAAGCACTGGAAAGTTATTAATTGTACAATTTTCCAAATTTATGTACCTCCTGACTTCTTAGTCACTATCACTTTTGCCTAATAGAAAAGTAACATCTTGTAGGCGATCAAGCCAGGCAGTTACATACTGACTCAGAGATTAACCTTAATAGAGTTAAGACTGGTCCTTCCCACTACAATCAAACTCAGTTTTCCTCATACTCTTTTCCCGTTTCAAACTTTTGAGTCCTGTTTTACCTTGCTCCTCAATTCCACTGTTTCTGCCCCTAGAGTTGCTATAATCCCAGCTGTCTGACTTTATTCGTAAGTTAAATTTTTCTTGCCTTTTTCAGTTAATTTATACAATCAGGGCACCTTTAGCCAACTCTGTAGGGTTATTTTGACAATTAAACATTTACACATAAAAAGTAACTAGCATAGAATAGACACTCAAAACATGTTAGTTGCCTACTGTTTAAAAATTATATTTTCGGGGCTGGGGATTTAGCTCAGTGGCATAAGCGCCTGCCTTGCAAGCAGGCAGTCGTGAGTTCGATCCCTGGTACCGATAAAAAGAAAAAAAAAAAAAAAAAAAGACAAAATATTATATTCTCTAACCCATGAATCAATAATTGTTTTACTACAGTAGTCCACTTTATCTGTCAACTTGCTTTCTAGTTTCAGTTACCCATGGTCTAAAAAGATGTTTTTCCATATATCATTCTTAACTTTGAAAATGTATGCTACTCTAAATATCATAAAATCTCACAATGACTCACCTAGGTCATGAATCCTCTATTTGCATACAGTATCTATGTGTATACACTACTACCCATTAGTCACTTTGAAGCTCCTTCAATTATCAGATTTGACTGTTGCAATACCACAGTGCTTGCAGTCAAGTAATCCTTATTTTATTCAACAATAGGCCCCCTGAAGTGCAAAAGTAGCATTCCTGGCAATTCCAATATGTCAAAGAGTAGCAATATAGCGATTCTTCAAGTGAAAAGACAAACGTTCTTGAGGTAGGAAAGAAAAAAAGTCATATGCTGTAGTTGCTAAATCCAATAGCAAATAAATTTATCTATGAATTGTGAAGGATGAACAAAAACTTGCTGCTGATTTTACTGTTTGTTACACCTCAGAATTTAAATGTTACTGTTTATAACAGTTTGATAAAATAGAAGAGGCATTAAATTTGTGAATGAAAGGTATGATCAGAAAATATGTTGTTATTATAACTGTTCTTTTATTAGTTTCTAATTTCTTAATTGTCTGATTTGTAAATTAAACTTTATCATAGGTTAAGTATATATAGAAAAAAAAGTGTACATATAGGTTTCATTCATTCCCTGGGAATCTTAGAACATATTCCCTGCAGATTACTACTGTAATCTCTATGTGAATTTCTGTTATATTTCCTAAAGAAATAAGCTAGTCTAAAATTTTTACCTACACATTGTAAAATGTAATAACTATAAGTGAAGTTTTTGGTTTAGTCATTCTAATAGCTTCAGTAGTCACTAAAAATTCAGTTAACTAAAAAATAAACAACTTCCATTTCTCTTTTCAAGTATCAATTTATTTCTAACTGCTTTTCCAAACATAACCTAAATTATCTCATCATGCCAGTCTCAAACTAAGAATTTCAATATTCTCAATACTGCCACCGATTGGCTACTACCATATTTTCTGGATATTTCCTTTTTATTTTTTCCAAGTTTAAGCTTCAACCCAATGGACAGACTTAATTTACATATTCTAATCCTCAGATGAAATGCTCCAGAAATAACTCTTCAATAGTAGCAACAAAAGAGTCTGTGATGTATTCATATATACATACACACACGCATATGCATTCACACACACCTGACAATAATTCTTTCCTTTCCTAATTTTTACTACAGACATCTGGCTCTCTCTCTTTCTGATAATAATAATGACAAAAACAAATAGCACAGTATCTAAAGAAGGAAAGCAGTTTTCCAAAACTGAGCTGTCAAATAAAAGTATTTTTTCTCATTAGAAAACCAACTGAAAACTACAGAACTTCAACCAGTAAAAACAAATTTTAAATGCAATATAACTTCATAACTTTCTATTTTCTCCTGAAAGTAATCATACAGCATTTTATTCTCATATGACAACAGAAAACTCTCGATCATAATACAGGAATATATTTCACTGAATTACCAAACAGACTGACTCTCTTCCCAACCTGACTTGAGCAAAACATAATTGTTCCTTCTTCCTACCAAAATTTCTATTAAATTACTTGCTTAGTATGTCAACATACATGTATACACAAGTATGTTTAAAATGATGAACTTCCAACTTTATTGGTAGTTTAAACTCCTAATATTGCTATATTTTCTGGTGTCTCTTTTTCAAAAGACATTAAATTTCTTTACTAATTTCTTCATCAATTCAATGAAAACAGATCATTGTGAAGACTCTTTTCAACAACTTTTTCATGGAGAAAATAAAGATGTCACAAAAGAAGACTAAAAGCTCAAAATGGCAAATGATGACTTCCATGTTTTACATGATAAAAGAAGCATATAATCTGTTCCAGTTTTAGGGGCTGACAATGTAGTTGGGAAAACAAAATACAAACACAGGGAAAAGTCAACAGTAAGGCAGAATATTAATTGACAAAACAACTGGTATGGATAATATTTATTGTAACTGTGAAAAATAAAACAGCAATAGCTGCACTGGGGTGACACAACAAGGACTTAAGAGTGAAAGAAAGGGAATTTAAAGTTATAGAGAACAAGTATATAAGGAGTATTAGTCCGAAAACTAGTAGAAACATGGGTAATGAAATGTTCAGAGTTCACTGTTTAGATGTGTAAATCAGTTGAAACTGTACAAAAGACTAATGAGGCATCATTAGAGTGGGGAAAAAAACAGCCCTGGATTGTGGAAAGTACAGAAGCTCTAACAGTTGGGCTGAGAGCCCAGAAAATAAGAAACTTACTTAAGACCAAGTATAGCACATTTCTACACTATTTCAAGAGTGACAGTGGAAGGATGGCATTTAACCTGATAGCAGCATTTCGAAAACTAAGAAAGACCATCATAGTATTTCAGTAATTTAGAAATAATAGTAGAGGTGTGAACTACAGTGATGACTGTGGAAATAAAAAAGAATGAAATTCATTAGCAAGAGGAATGTCTACAAACTGGTCAATGATCTGAAGATAAGAGTATACAAGGGAGGAGAAAATCAGAATGTTCCCACAAATAGAAATGTTGTTTAAAAAAAAAAGTAACAATTAGTTAACAATTTTCAACAACTGAAATTTTTGTGAACCAAAACTGTTTAACATTAAAGTAATAAAACTGCATAAACCCAAAGGCTCAACAAATGAATATAAATAGCACTCATATTTAGACATTAAGAAAAACCTTAAAAGATTCAACACATAAATCTACATGAATTTGTAACTTCTCAATCCAGATGTCATTACTCTTCTTATAGTACAAAAGTGACTTCTATTTGTTCAATTAGTATACACTTCATATTTAAGACAAACACACCAATTTGAGTCTCAGTTCATTATTCTGCCTAGTGAGGTATATAAATAATACAATGTATGTTAGGATACAGATTTCTCCATAGGCTAATGAACACATTGGGAAACAGTTTAAAAAGAAAACTCAAGAGTTGCTATCAAATATAAATTTACACTTTTTCCTACAATTCCTTTAAAAAAAAGTGGCACCATTTTTTTTAAAACGAAACTTTAAAAAAAAAAAACTATACTAGACATTTCACACACTTCTTGATTACCTTTACTTTATCTCTTCTCAAGCAACAGAACAGACAATTTTCATCAAAAGTCCAATCAGAAATGCTTTCAGGCTCAAACTCTATAAAAAATAAATATACTAAATTAATAATCATGAAATAGAATTTTTCAGACAATAAATCGGAACTAATTTCAAAATACTGGTCAACCAAAACTTTACTAAGTACTACACATGTTATATATATCATGTCTTAAAATTCTTGTGGCTCTGGGAATTTGGTCTCATGAATGTGAAGCACACGCTCCAACAATGAGCTATAACCTCAGACAAGTCTTAAATTTCTCAATTCAAGAATTTTACCTCGGGGCTGGGGATTTAGCTCAGTGGCATAAGTACCTGCCTTGCAAGCAGACAGTCGTGAGTTCGATCCCTGGTACCGATAAAAAGGAAAAAAAAAAAAAAAAAGAATTTTCCCTCAACTGAGACATGGTGGCATGAGAGTCAAAAATTCAAGCCTGGCCCATGTACTTAGTGACACTGAGACTCTTGTTTCAAAAAATAAAAAAGGACTGGGTATGGAGCTCTGGCATAAGCTCCACATTAGGTACGGAACTCTGGGTAAAGACTCTGGTTTCAAACCCCAGTATGGGGCGAGGGATGGGGTGGGGATTTCTTAATTCCTAACTACTCACTAGTTACTATATGTCAATTAAAAACTAAAAACAAAATAGTGGTCACATGGAAATAGCTTTAAACCACATGAAACCGAATAAAAAAAGAAGTCTTAAATCATGTAAAGTATCAAGATATACCAAGAAGAATTTAAAATACCAAAATATTTTATAATACCTTTAAATAAGCTGAGATCTTTTAATAATGCAGGTCCAAACAGCCCTTCAAGAATAGTTTCAAATCCTAAAAGGACAAAGAAAAAAATTATTATCACAATAATATTCACTATGGCAATAGTAATTGCATGAAACATGACCGATTTTCTTCCACTTCTCAAGGATCTCAGATTACTACTGAAGGGATGCTGAGGAAAATGTTTCACTGATAAATCTAGAAGATGCATTTTTTTTCAGTCTTAAGTACAACACAAATTTATAGCACATTTTAAGAACAGACACCAAAAACCACCAATGAAAGAAATTCACAAGTTCTCTTACTCTTTTACAAATTTTACAGAAACTCTCAAGCTGTATCTTAAAAAGGCAGCTTTTTCAATAAAGAGTCAAACTGCTACAAAACTTCCACAACTTTCTAGAATACTTCCATTTTTTGAATTAAGAGTTTCTTGGAGAAAAGTATCCACTACAAACAACTTTTCTTTGATACACACAGTATATTGCAGCCCAAAAAAAGCCCTCTGTAATTACTTCACACTGGCACTGTAACTACTTGCCATGTCTCTTTAAAAAGATAAAACTCATTAATTATACATATAGTAAAGTATCTTTCTGGTTTTTATAGGTAGGGAAGGGGATAATGAGGGAGGGGACTCAAGATTGTATGTTTATATAACACACCAGGAATAATGGATCAGAACGTGGCTCCCAAACTCCTGTCATGGACTTCACAGTAATCTCAAACACTTATTAAGAGAGTGCTGTGAATTCCTATGAACTTAAAGCACAACCAAAAGAGTATGTCTTATTTTCAAACACACAGAAATGCTACTGTAATTAAGAAAATATAAAAATTTAAATGAATTCCTGGTAATTTCGGGCACTGTGTATTTATACTGTGTCACAGTGTAATCTACTATCACCTGAAAGCCCGTATCCATGGGGGATGTGGCTGACACTAGGTCTATGTTGTTTAGGCTAACCTTGAACTCACAGTGATCCTCCTGCTCAGCCTCCCGTCTGGCCTATCTATGTATGTATGTATGTTTTTTGGTGTATGTATGTATATTTTTTTAATTGTAAAAAAGCATTCTCAGACTAATTTAACATTCTTCACCATAACTATATCATATATAAAATAATAAAGGATTTGGAAGGTAAAGGGTAGAAAAGATGGTCTCTAGAAAGAATTAAAAATTATGTAATTAAGAGATTTTTTTCATCATAGTAGTCAATCTCTAGAGTCTATTAACTACATTACAATTAGAATATCTTTTTAAATATTATCTTTGAAGCTGTAAATTTTTCTATTTATTATTAGAGATCAATTTTTTATGAACTTTCCTTACTTGCCATCAAAATTATTTCAAGAAATTTACAAAATCAAATTTACCATTTTGAAAGCATCAAACACACACTGCAAATACAACTCAGAGATCACATGTAGCTCTTGTTCTGAAGAAAAAATCTAGTGGTTTTTTTTTTATCTGAGCTTATATGAAATTATAATAAACTCTAAAGTTGCATGTTAAGCACAAACTCTTCAAAAGAAAAAATGTAAATGTAGCAAGAAATAATACTAGGAAAGGAAAAGATTCAAATAAAAGGCCTTGGGAGATTTAAAAGATTTTTAATTATAAAGTACAGAATCTGAAATAAAATTAAGCAGTAACTTTATCAGTAACATACACTTGCAAAACCAACTTACAAATCAAAGTAATGAAAAAGAACAAAAGGAAGCAAGCAAAAACAAAAAACCTCATCACAAACTCAGAAGATTTAGCCAAAATTAACTTTGCTCAATACTGTAACTATAAACTCCCTCTTCTACTTATATTTACAGCCGTATTTTAAAACCTAGTTATTATTGATTAGGTACTGTAAAGCCAATATATTGCTACTCTGTTCACTAGATATTAATGCTACTCAGTTTTTTTAAAGAATATTGAATTTAGCAGTTGTACAACAGGGAATGCTGTACTTGACATTAACAAAAAGCAAACAAGGAAAGAACAAACATACTCAAAATTTTTACCATGATCTTACAGAAAAGTCATGAAGATCAATAATACAATACCATGGAAAACTATTGAAAAAGACAGCTATATTATTATGTTTAGCCACTAGGACATAAAAGTATCTTTACATAATATATTAAACATAAAAATTATTTTATTGGTCTTGATTATTTTTCAGAGAATTATTATTATCCAATATCACAACTGGTCTCAAAGTTGATCTCTCCAGTCTCTTTCTTAATACAACCTGCAATGTTTTCAGAGTATTCCTAAAAATGCTTGGGCAACACCTCTACCTCTTCAAAGTCAACACTACTTAGACAAATAATTCAAAATTTCTAAGTCCAGTATATTCAAATACAACCCCAATCTGTATTCAGCAGGCTTATTTCCCAGAATGATCCTGTATATTTTTCATAGTTCCAGTCAGGTTGGTTTTCTACTGTGTTTGGCAATCATTTCTACTTCTGAATATTTTCTCAACATTTTATATCTCATTTTTGCCCTAATAATGTATCTCCTTCAAGGCACTCTTCAATTTGTTTCACAAACAAACATACTCACTTACTCATCATATTACCAACTGAGAATATACCAGGATTGAAGCAGACACTGAGCGGGCAATGGTGAACAGGACTAGTGCCTACTCTTACATGGCTTTTGTTTAGAATTTCCTTATCTTCAGAATTCATACATCATTCCTCCTCCTAAGTAAAAACCAGTTTTCTAAGATCTCCTCTGCTTTCTACCATGTACAAACCACTGCCTATGTATTTTATAAACTAAAACTTGTCATAGGCTGTATGAACTCTTTTATTTTTCTTTTCAGGCATTTATTCTTTCTCCTTAAAAGGCTTAAGAAATGCTAGGTCTTTCCATATCCTTGAATGTTTCCCTTATAATAGAACCTTTCAATCCTAAGTTTTTGTTTCTCACATAATCACAGAGTTCTGGAAAACTAAAGACAGAAATTTAAAATTTTCCGCAAATGCCTCCCTTTCATTTAAATCATAATCTCTGTCATTTCTAATTCCAACCAAAAGCAAGTTATAGAAAGTAACAAGACAGGCAGACATTGTCAACTTTGCAAAGAAAAGAAATTGTTCAAAAGGAAGAAGGAACTAGGATAGGTGAAAGGGAAAAGGGAAAAAATGAAGTCAGTTATACTATTAGCATCTCCTGGTTCATTAAAAGGGAAGGTTTGTGCTAGCATCAATTGGAGAAATTTTTATGCCCATATCGTGTATCTAGAGCAACTACTTAAAAGATAACACGTACTGTATTATTCATTTATTGTTATGAAATTTTACTACCTTTTTCTCATTAGAAAAAATACATAGTCAACTAAACTCAACAATTACAGCCTGTCACTTTTGAAATATAATACACTATGGACAGAATAAGACAATAGCTCATGGGGGCCTTGGAAATATCTCTTCTGAGATAACTAAAGTATGAGACTAAAAGTATGAGAGAAATGATAAGGGAAAGAAGCACATTTTTGTTTTCTGTTGCTTTAATAGCATACCAGACAACAGATATTTTATATTAAAAGAATACAAAGAATTTATAAAGAAAAGGCTCACAGTTCTAAAGAAAGGGAAACTCAAGAGCATGGCACTGGCATTTGCTCAACTTCTCCTGAGTGGCGAGTGCCTCTTCATCACTTGGCCAAAAGCAAGTGGGCAAGAATGAAAGAGAGAACTCCAAGAGTGGGCTTGCTTTACGACTTGGTGTCACAATAATGAATTCAGTTCAATGAGAGCTAGAATTTCCTCTAAGTGAAAGAAAAGTATTTATGAAGGCTCTGTCCTGTGATCCAAACACTTCTTACTAGGCTTTACCTTTCTAACACTGCCACCTGAGAAATTAAGATTCACTATATCAAGGGCCCCTGGATCATGCACTCAAACTTGTCCCAACCTTGAATCTAATCTTCAATTAAGTATTATTTTATAAAGTATTAGTTTAACAGTATGTGCTGGTAATAATCATCAAATAATGAACTTGTTTTTTGGGGATTTTTGCACTTAAAACTCAAGGAGTTTAATTTGCTACCACATTGTTCTTCCTAACAAGTGGGCTGCAAAATGAAAGTAGTACAAAAGCATTAGATGATATAATCTTTTATCTGTAACGAACTTCCTTACTCTAAATTCTATATGTAATGGACAATGTTTAATCAGTCCCTTTCTCATAATGGCAGTTCATTCTACTGTTGGATAACTACACTCATTGTGAGCCACCCCCTCCCCACATCTGCATCTATCCCAAGCCCTGATGGATCTTATCTGCTGACATTACCTAACACAAGAATGTTGACAAAATCTAACCAATTTCCTAAAGAAGTAAGTTAATCAAAACTAATGACCCAATCTGAAATACTATCAACTCTTGAGTTCACAACGGCAACAAAAACCACTATAGTGCAGTACTGCATCATTTACATTTGTTTACATTTCCACTTGTGAGTGGCACAATGTATAGTAGCTAAGTATCATGCATAAATTTTGATCATTTTTGGTTTTTAAAAAATATTTCTGTGTATTTTATAATAGTATGTATATTTTCTACATGTATTTAATGCATTCACAATGAACTGTTAACTGTTTCCATTCTAAAAAAAAATCCATGTTGTTTAAATATCAATTGTACTATACTTTTGTCATTATTTCAGACTGTACTCTTAGTTATAAAAGAACATGTTACTACAAAACTGTATGGTTTTGCACTGCACTCTCATATATATTTTATTACTAAATCTCAAATATATCAAGAGGCCAGATCAAGCACCTGAACTGTACCACTTTCATTTGTGTCAGTATACACTAGGGTCACTGGCTAATGGTGTAGTTCTTCAAGTTCATAATGTCAATGTGAAGAGTAAAAGACAAAACATGGGGAAAAAAACAGAAATGAGGTGGCCAGGACACTCAACGTCTATGAAACAGAAATCACAGAAAAAAAAAAAAAAAGCAAAGACAGCTGGGCATGGTACACATGTCTAGATGCTCAAAACTTGGGAGGCTGAGGCAGGAGGATCACCTCA